TGAGAAGCTTCGCATGGTTTCCGCACATGTGAAGTAGACAGGCAGCGTGTGACCCTGTCCAACCGTCACAAGTACAGCAAGGCGCGAAAAAGGTGCCTTGGTTGGGGACCAGGCCCTATTGTTGGAGCTGCTTGTATACCAGGAAGGCCCTTTTTCGGCGTGGGGAGATCAAGAAATGGGAGGGGAAGTATCTGTGCTAGGGACGAGGCCTAGTAGGATCTCTTAACAGGGGACGAGAAGATCCCCGGTGGAAGAAAAAGGACTTTTCAGGCTGCATAGCGAGTGCGGACAATCAAAACACATCCGTGATCAGTGGAGGCCGCTTATGATGGGTGTTGATGGAGTGATACAGGCAGCAGCACGCTGGTATGCGATGTAGGATCTGCCATGGGCAGCGTACAAGGCTGCCTATGTCCGACGCAGAACGATCACAACATCCAGAGCAGAGGTTTTCCAAGCCATGTACACGGTAAAGCGCCTTACCTGCTTATTATAAGCACACCCATCGAAGTGGCTGTTGCCGATTGGCATTCCAACTTCCCCCAATCTTGTTGCGCTACGTTGAAAGTTTCTCCGAAATGTTTGCACGCACTCCCTTAAAGCATCAACGCTACCCATGTTGTCTTCCTTTACCAAGTCATACTCCCATAGGTGACACACAAGGTGGGTTAGCTCAGTGGAGTCGGATGGTAATGAACAGCGTTGCATCTTTTGAGGTCGCACGTTCCGTGGAGGTGATTGGCGGCGACATCCAAGACGTGGGGGTCGTCGTGAACAAGGCCACGCTGGCGTACCTGGTCAACGTGGCGAGCCGGTGAGCTGCCACGTGGCGCCGCGGGACAATGTCATGTCTTCATCTGGTAACCTCACGCCGCGTTAGCGAGCGGCGTGCAGGGATCTGGTCCTTCCGTCACTTGCAACTTGTGAAATGAACGTGGTTGATCCGAGAAGGCTCCTTTGTTGTCAGCACAGCAACCGGTCGCTTTGCAGCGTGCTCAGTATCTTGACCTCTTGCAGACCGCTCAGAAGCCTTCTTGCAGTTGGTGCATTTATGTGATTGTACAAGGCCGGGAAAACCGGGACCTTTTGTTCGCTGGTGCCTTGCATGAAGTCAAAAACCTGACGTTTGCGTTTCAAGGAGTCCTGCTATTCACCCCTCAGTCTCAATTCGCCCTATTCCCTCAGAAAGCTCGGCACTACATCAAAGCCCTACCTGCAAAAGCTTGTTTCCTGTCGAAACGTGAACTTACATATTCCATTCCACCAGTTAGCCCGAGGAGCCGTACATGTACGCAGTCCACGCCCAACTGCGAAAGCAGCTCCAGCACCACAAGGCCCTCTACGTGGACCAATCCAGCACGCTCGCCGCTATGTACAAGCAGGCCCACGTGGACCTTCAAGATGCTGACACGTGGCATGATTCGGATGGTGCTCAAGGCACTACAGGCACGGACGGGGTTGCGGGCAGTCCGGAACGGCCCACCGGGTACGAGATGAGTGCTGACGACGAGTGGGGTTATGATCCGGAAGCTTCAAACGGATATCGGGTTAGTATTGGCGGGAAGGGCGAGACGGGCGATTTCAAAGCGAGGCAGCAAAGTTTGAAAGCGAAGCTGAGGAGTCGCTATACCGGCGGACTTCGGAAGATGCTGATGGGGCAAGCCAGTCGTTCAGGCATGAGCCTGAAGATCACTGTGGCGCTTATTACATGCTTATGCTGAAATGCTTCAATACAGAGTGTGCCACGGCCCTGGTCGATGCTGGATGACTAGAACATTTGGTGCCGCATAAGATCAAGCTAGATCATGTCAAAACGTTTAAAGGTAAAGCCTTCGCAAAAGTATGAGACGTGTTTAGCGGGCCAGCACTGAGTGCCCTAGAAATCGCAGTCGGCCAATATTGGACCACCCGAACCAGCAGTTGCACATGGTTCATGATCAAATGGCCAGTCCTTTAGACTCAGAGCTCTGCAAGCGTATGGCAGCTTGGCATCTGCATCTGCGTCCGAATGTATACATCCGCGCCGAAGTAAGCATTTGAGTTGCGCTAACGATCATTGAACATTCAGTGATGCATGAAATAATCTGGTGATGCAGTGCATCTTATAGTCAGTATGCATTTAGAATTATCATGCAAGGCATTGATGAAGCCTGTTCGTCGCGACATCCATCAATGTCAAATATTCCTTTATTGAATACTTGTGAGATGCGATATAGGTATAGTATATGGGCCATAGCCATATCTTTAGAGCTCTTTCTGGCAGGCCGGTATACTTAAGTCAATTCGTGTGTGCCAGGCGAATGTCGGGAGCGTGCACTGAACGGTCGATTGAACATATATGAGCGCTCATGTGAGCTCATATGTGCACATATGATGTGCATCACTGAGCATGCATCGACAAGTTTCACTACGTTCTCAGGCGCCTAGCCTTATAGGTCACAGCAGCCGGCATTGTTAAATTGTGCCAGCTCTAGCACAATATATGTTAAGCCAGCATACGGTCGCAGGCTGACATGTGCGCCATGCAAATTGGTTCCTCGCAGCATGCAGCCCTGGTCATGCATCCATCCACCAGGCCTTGTTATAATCGTGGCCAGAAGACTTACAAGCGCTGTCATCTGATGCTGCCGTATGCAGAACATGTGAGCTGTGTCTGAAGGGCAATCAGCACGACACTAATTGGACACATGCAGGTCCACGGATTAGAAAATACTGGAGGGCCCCCATGCTCTCAATCTATCCAAGAGGCTTGCCTCCTTCGAAGCTTTCAACAGGGAATGTCCTGAATGAGTCTAGCACCGTTTTCAAAAGCGCCCGTTCTTGGGCATATTTATCAGCCGGTATTTGTACTCGCAGCTCGTATAGCCGCTTATTTTCGACCGCCTGAACCGTGATGTATCTCCTCTCCCACTCCACGAACGGGACCGTCTCTTTGGGGGTGACCGCCAGTTGGTTGGAGTTCGCCTCTGACTTGACGCTCATCTCAATCTGGTAGTAAGGCTTACCCTCCTGCGGAAGAGGCAAACGGGATTTTAAAATAGAGACCGACTTCACTGTCTGTTGTGCGAGGTCTGGTTGGTTGCAAGGTCTGGAAGCCCAAGAAACAAGTCTTTCAATCCAGATGTTATTCACCTCTGCTAAGAATTCTCAGTCAAGGCGGCTGCCGTGCAAAGGTTCAAGAGGGGATGCCGAAAAAGGGAGCCGCATCTAAGCCAACATGTCGAACTTCTCGTAGGGCGGACGTACGAAAGAACGATCCTCCAAATGAACGACAGCAAATAACAGACGAAGATATGCTCTGTCGCGGTTTCTACAAGACTCAAAAAAAGCAGCGTAGAAGTGTCTACCTGAGAATCAAGAAAAGGGTGCAGAGAGAAAGGACAGCAAAACCCAGATGCAAAGGAAAGCAGGGAACAGCAAAGATCGCCACTGCAAAGGGAGGATACATTTGAAACGACACACGAAAGGAAAGAAAAAGTAGGACGGGATGAGACATGGTCGTTGCCTCACCTCCACCTCTCTACTGCTTGCACTCACGACCTCCGCCGTCCGCCGCACGCCCAGCCGCGTCAACATGTACTCCGCCACGTACTGCTTCTTGATAAACTTGCCCCTCTCCTCCGGCGAACCCAAATCCTTAACCCGTGTTGACTAGGCGAGCTAACCGCGACAAACAGGTTCTTGTCACCAGTCTGGGGGCTGCGGAACTGCACCTCGGCGCCGCTCCCCCGGACTTATACCCAGTAGTCGGGAAGGAGGAGGGTGAAGCCGTCGAGCCGGTCAGTTTACCGGCACAAACCTGGGCAGTGCGAATAACATTTAGCTTTGATAATTATCGGCTCCCTACGTACACTCTCTCAAATCTAACTTAGACAAGCACCGGGCCTATTAGTCAATTTGAAAGGACAAGGCAACTCAGCCGGCTAAATTGATTTGTGTATCAACGAAGCCAGGCATAAACGGAGTTCCAAGTTCGGTGCTCACAAAAGACATGAAAGGATCATTGAATAAAGCACTGAAATCATCTTTCAAGGCCGCCCTGAACCTAGGAGTATGGCGTTGAGCACAACCCAACCAGGCTACTGTACGCAGCAGGCGGTGCCACAAATAGCGATTGTAATTGTCAATCTGGGCGCTTTGGGCGCACAATCGCATTGAAAGCTCTCATTCCCAAAGGCTTTCAGGGACTGTCAGCCTGATTGCCCACCACTTCACGCACTTTCAAAGTGGGCGCTACCAACACGGAACCAAAGAGTGCCTGCCTATCGAAGACTTCACCATCCAAGGGGTCGAGTGGTCTCTGAAAATGCTCACGTCTGACTTCAATTACTACTGCCACCACCATTTTCCGGACCTTAAGTCCTAGCATCAATTGTCGAGAGTTTGCTGTCAGCTTTCCGTCCCAAAAGCCCGTTCGCTGCATTACTTGCTTGTTCCATCGCTGAAGGTGGAGCAAGCCTCCCTTTAACGCCAACTTCTCGTCAGGCAGAACAAATGCGCAAACATTATAAACCCTGCAATTGAAACTGACTTCCTACTAGATTCCTTCAATTTCTTGCGCCGTATCTCACCTTCTGGCGGAGGCCTATATGCGTGTGCCGGCGATGCACCGATTACTGTGTTGCCCACCAAAACCGTCAGCGCCGCCAATATCAACACATTTCTCCGTCCAATCCTGCGTCCCTTGCTGGCGTCAGCACGCTCACCAGCATCAACGGCCTGTTCCACTCTAGTTGCGCTGCATTGCTCCTCACCAACTTTTGCTGCACTGACCTCTGAATATCTGGACTTGTGAACACATAGTGGGGGGCATGAACGGTAGTGTTTGTGCGACGCTAGGAACCAATAGTACCACCACACGGGAAGGATTCTAGCAAGGGCGCTGTCGTCAACCCAAAGGCCCCTGATGAGTAAACCACTTGTGGGCAACTCCTGTTGATTGCTCTCAACGCGCTGCATATGGGTGAGAATGTGATGCACATGATGGCTCAACAGATGGAGAGGTCGTCAGGGCCAGAATGTGCAGGAAAGGGTCACATATGCGAGCGCATACTTGCGAGAGCGCCATCTTCCCTGCATAGCCCAGGCTGCGTAAGAAGAGAAGCTAGCGATGCCAATGCCAATGGAATAATCTATTAGTAAATTAAAGTGACAGTCGCGGAGGGCATTGGCGGTCAGGCCGATGTCTCACGCCTTTCACAAAGTGATGTTCTCTTCACAAGCCCGTACCCAACAAAGTAATCGCCTTATGGCATCCTGGGCGTTCCAATTTCCAACACCCTTTCATAATTCTGAGAACAAGTAGTAGATAGGTAGGTACTTTGCAAGCGCAGCTCTGGCAACCACTGCCAGCATTTTCTGGAAAGAAAGGAACGTACGGCGACTTGGCAAAAATCAATACGGATAATCCTGCAAACCTCCGTCGCCAAAGCCGTCGGGGAATCAGCAAAAGCAGGGACTGTGAGTGGCAAAATGCTCGGTGCGAAGGGATAACCAGGTGGATAACCAGGATCTTTAACTTGTAACGTCATCGAGACTCCGACCAGACGGGCAATCTTAGACTTGAGCCTGCCACCTAGGTATCTCGACATCAGGCAGGCCTGCAAAGCTCTTCAATTGAAGAGAAGATGCAGGTCCAGGCATGACGGAGACGATGAGTCAGGCCTTTAGTTTTCAAGGTTTCCTTCCACAAATGTCAAACAAACGTCCATCGGAGGAGAGCTGATAACAAAGCTTGAGCGACTAGCTAGAATGAGACGAAAATTGCCACCAGGGAAAGATAATGCCAGTGATCAGGTTGTGAACAGAATATCTGCAAGCACGTTGCTAACATTAGCCAGTGGCTGAGCACCATCTTGATCGTACGGCGACTTGGCAATTTGATCGGCACATTTGACTTGGTACCGCTTGCCAGCAATGCCAATGGCAATGGCAATGGCATGCAAGGGGCTGGCTTGCAATGCAACCAGCTAAGTAGTGATGCTCCTTTGCAATTGGTGGGAGCTACTAGTAGTAGTTCTGAGCTCTGAGCGACCGCCAGCGGCAGTATTGGCGCATTGCCTTTACTGGCAGTTGGGATATTGATTGTGCTGCACAAAATTCTGCAAGCGAGCTACTAAAACCGCCCCGCATCTCGCATTTCCTAAATCCATGTGAAGTGGTGACTGGGGGCAAGGATGTTTCGGTGGAGGGGTGTGCCGCAGGTGGTGGAGGGGGCCGTGCGGAGGTTTGTGGTCTCAGCAGCAGGACAGGTATGCATGGGGTATCTGGCTAGGATGACAACCACTTCTTCTGAAACAAGTCCTCTGGCAAGTGCGATGCAAGGAATTGTCGGCTTCTTGTTCTTTGAATCAGCTGCGCTAAAGCAGCATAGCAGCTAAAGCAGTAAGCAAGGGTGCTGAGGATTGGAGGATGGTGGTGCCACCAAATAGGAAAGGGACAGATTTTCTTGCGATCCTTCTTACCCTGGATTCTGCTGCCAGTTCTGAAAGAAAGACTCTTTCATTCCTCAGACTTTTGAATCGTTGATACTCAAGCAAATAGTTTTTTGTTGGTAGACCTCGCACACATTGTACATGAATCCTTCTTTGGAAAGCTATAGGGCGCAACTGCAAGCTGTTTCTCATTGGGATGAACTGCATGATATGAAGCAGTAATCTGAATCCGGGGCCCCTTTTGACATGGTCATAGCTGTAGAGCTGTCATTGACACTGCGTGTCGATTTGCAGCATCTAACTTGCAGTCTCATTGTTGTGCTTTTGCACCAGCAGAAACACTGCACTGCTTTTGTGCACCGACTGCTTTTGATTGATTGTCAGTTTCAACCTCTGCGCCAGCTCGGCACTTGCAAGATTGTCACTTCTTGCGTGCACAGGTGGTTTTGTTGAAAACGTTTTTACTTTGTAAGTCAGAAGCTACTTTCACGCATTTGGACGAGACCTGCATTCAGCTTTTTCTCGGGAGACCCTCATAGCAAATCTTGCTTCTCTCTTACGGGAAAAATTCTCTGCTTGCCTCACAACCACATCATTGCTTCTCCCCTAATGTTCAACATCTTTCGTGCTTCACGTATATGGTGCCAGCATATGGGTCAAAGCTACTCAAAGATAGTGTGCTGGTTTCTTCAATGAGCACTGCCCCTTGTTTCAAGCTGCCCCTTGCTTCCCCTCTTTCAGATCATTAATGGAAATGGCTCTCTGTTTGGCACGCTGAGTGGGAACACGCTGGAGATTCTGCACAAGGTGTCGTTCGACCTGCCTGAGAAGTTCACTGACTCCTGTTGTCCATCTGCCATGTAGGGGCTAACGGGGATCCAGGAATTAGGCAACAAGGCAAGAACTGGTAAGGTTGTGCTGCTTCTGAGCTCTCCTCTGGTTCATACATAGTAGGGCAAGTACGAAAATAGCACGCTGGACATTGAAATTCTCTGAAGGGCCAGAATACCCTATTCTCAGGCAAGACAAAATGTGTCTCAAAGGTCTCGGCTGATTCAGAGCAAGGTTGCTGGCTTCAACCTATTCCTCAAGTACATGGCTTCAGGCTGTTCCTCTTATCTGGCAACTTGAGGTTCTCAGCAGAGTCTGACCACACGTTGAATGCATCCGCCTGTCAAAGCTCTCAATTGGTTCCTTACAAGACCTGACTTTGCAAGTTGCAAAGATTCGATGCTGCATCAAGAGGGGTTGCTATTCTCCAATGAAACATGTACGAGTCAAAGCAACAAAAGAGACACAAGCATCCTGGGCAGCTTGCAGCTCCCAGGACTCCTGACGTGGACATCTACCATTGCTCATATGATGGCAATTGAAGGCGCGATCTGATGGTAATTCTGGCAAAAAGGCGCTCAGTGGTCAACTTGTTTTCCAGCTCACATATCTTTTCGTGACAGAAGGAGCGGCCAGGCCCACCACGCCCAAGAGGGCCGCCTCCTCCTTGGTTAAGCCGGTAAGGGCTTACGTTTTGGAACAGTGCCTATCCGCTCAGTTCTGCTTTGGTATTGTGAAAGCACTTGCTCAGAATCTGGAACCCCAATCTTCCACGTCTGTTCTGCTTTCTCTGGGGGCTGCTCCAGTGATTGTTTCGTCTCACTTTTAAGCTCTGTAAGCTACTCCTGCCTGTTGATGTTGCAGGTCTTTGAATATTTCCAAGCGCAACATTCCCTCACGGTCGATGGCAAGATCGGGGTGCTGACGGGGTGGGACCAGCACAAGCAGTGCTGGTCCCAAGAGCTGTCACACCAGAGGGTCCCGATTGGGCTGCAGCCGGCGCCCTACATCAGGAACACGCGCCTCCTGGGGAAGGGCATCACTAGTGAGTGTCTACTTCTGAGCTCCATGTGATGTGAGCTAGACTAGTGTTTTCGCTTGTATGCCTCTGACTCGCCCTGCACGAACAGAAGTAGTAGTGTCTGCCAGGATCGATTCTCATGACTTCCTTGTGCACTTGCAGTCTACGATGTTAATCAAAGCGTCGACACCAAGCATCCGGAGCTCTTGGATCGCAAGCTACACGTGTAAGTCAGCCTCCACTGCAAGTTCCCGCTTCGATCATTCCCGATCAGGACTGTGGTCCCAACATATCTTTGATCATCTGCTTGGCTCACCTCTGCTTTGCAAATCGGACGTTAGAGGAAGTATGCTCAAGAGCTGTGGTGTTTTGACTTGGTCAACGTTGCAGCAAGAAGCTTATAGGTCCTCATTAGGATGTTTTCGGAGCTGGTTCGTAATGGAAATTAACGTCTTTTTCCTCATTTGCAGCCACAAACTTCTCACCGGTGTTAGCTTGGATCCCTGGCACGGAACGCTCGTTGCAAGCAGGATCATAGGGAAGACCTTGGGGTATGCGCCCAAGGCAACGCTGCACGTCGTTGAGGTAAGACTGCAACTCGTCGTTGCAACCCCTTGTACTAAACCTTCCAATGTGCAGTGGTGCATTAATGCGGTCGAAAGAGAGTAGACGGTGATTTCTGCGACGCCTCTGACTGCTCCGAAAAAGGTCTCATACTCATGTGAGTGCTTTCGGGTCCTACATCTTTGCCCTGTGCTCATTGCCTGCTGGCCTGCCTTGTGCCTGTTGATTCGGAACCGTTGTCCTTAGCTTCTTGTGTTGGGTGCCCTTGCCTGCACTTTGCTTTACACCATGCCAAGGTTGTAAGGCACAATTGTGCTTTTTGGCGGTCTCCAGGTCCCCCCGCCAGATGCGAATGGCAACGTCAACGAGGCCGGGCTGGAGCAGGCCATCAAATGGTATGCAGGATTTCTGTATTGCTCCGTGCTTTTAAGACAGTCAGGGCAACCACTGCTTCTACAAGCGGCTATCTGCTAAGTGCTGGGCCTGCTCGAATCGACCATGGGTTAGAAGTGACTGAGGAAAAATCGAAACGCCGGCTGTATGGGATCATTGGCTTTTACACTAGAGATCACGCCTTGTCGCATCTCTAGCGTTAACGTTGCAAGCTTTTTGATGCAGGGTGTACGAGCATGCGCTTGAGAACCAAGTCAACACCCCAATATTAAATCTTACCTACTCGGCCGCTTCGTACCGATCTAGCAGCGTCAATGACCTCATTTGGGAGTTGCAGGTGAGTTCTCAGTTGCATTGAGTCTGTGCAGTATATATTTGTCTGCAAGGCTGCGTATGTGTTGGAGCACTCGTCAGGAGCACGTGTTTGCTTGAGCGGAGGCGGCTCCCCTGAGTCACTCGTTATATTCGAAGCTGTCTGTGAAGCTCAACAATGCTCTCTCAGCTTGCTAGTGAGCATGGCCCTTTGCATGTGCCCAATTTGGAAGAACGCTCAGGGGCAGCACGGCCAAGATCTTCTCTTTCTTCTCTTCGCAGATGAGCAGCGAAATCATTGTGGTCGCTGCTGCTCCGAATAATGGTTCGATCGATCCTACGGCTACGTTCGAAGGGATGCGGCAAGGTGCGTTGCCTAGTACAAACTGCCAAAAGTCACTGCGTTATAGCGCGTCCTTGGCTTTTTCTGAATTGCATTGCCCACACCTTTAGCGGCTGGCTTGCTCTTAGATTTCCTTTGAACCAATATTCCCGTTGCAGGGGCCAATGGGTTCCTTGTCTCCGCCCTTGCCTTCAATGGCCGAGAGCGATACAGTGCGTGTGGGCCCGGGTTCCACCATGGCGCAGGAGATGACGTGGCAGGTGCGCTTGCCACGTACGGCGTCTATGGGCTCGCTGGCGGCACCTCCCTCGCCACCCCCCAGGTAACGAGACTCCTGTACTTGGACAATTTGGTCTTACCTTTGCACTGCTCCCCATCCGGCTCCAACATGCAAATTTTGGCGATAAGGCCTTGCTGGGGAGTTTCTCCCGAATCTAGAGTTCTCTACAAGTAGTTCCCCTGACGAGGCAGGAGGGATCGAACACCATAATGCTAGAAAAGAAGGTTTATTATCGAGCTGTCCCTTCATGGGCCATGCCATCATAAAATTGTCCTGTTGAAGGTAACGGCGGCTGTTGGCGCTGGCGTTGGAGGCGCTGGGAGGGGACGCCTCCCGAGCTGACGTCATGGACGTCGTGCACAAGGCGGGAGTCATGATGGAGACGGAGACGGACGGTTGGATTTGGCGGGTCACCGTTGCCGAGGACAAGATCCTACAAGTCGCAGCCCAACATCAGGTGAGCAACGTCTTTCCTAACGTACTTTGGATCTGGACACTCAAAATATAGTATCAGTCACTGAAAGGTGTTGAGCTTCCTTTCGCTTGTCACCCCAGAAGAGGCCTACTCGTAGACTCTGAGTAACCGTGTGACGATTGAGGAGTTGGCTCGGGTTGTTAGTGCTCCAATTCCGGCTTTCAAGTAATTCTAGGCTATGAGACAGGCAGCAAAAGCAGGCCGAATAGCCATCATCCTTCTCGAACGAGTCATCAGGTGTTGGGCTCAGTGCTTGGCTTGAGCACGTGGCTTGGGGCCTTCGGAATCACACCCTGGCGTTTCAGCTCTGGGTATAGCATGTCTTTCAATTCCGCTCAATCTGAAACGACTCTGCGAGAGTCCCGAACAAGTAGTGCAAAGCCCGAACATTGCACTCAAAGTGAGCTTTGCCCTCAGGGATGCGCTTGTTTTGCAGGCCGCGAAAGCTCCAGCCCCTGCGAAAACGTTCAGCGGGGGGCACGAGCTGGCGCTTTCCTCTTTGCCCCGTGAGAGCCGAAGCTCGGTCCTCCCTCCTCTCGCTACGTCCGAAAGAAGTGCGTGCCAGCTGGCGCGCGCGCTGCTCAGATGCCTGCCACGTGTCTTATTCCAAAACCCGCTGCTGAGCAGCCTGAGTTGTCCCGTAATTGCTTGGTTCCGACCTGACAACTCGAAACTCGTGATGCAATTACATGTGCCCCCTTAAAGGAACATTGCGTGTAGTCTTGTGGCATTTGCAGCAACCCGTTGGGAGGCTTGCAAACCCCTCGATTGACCGGATAGCAACTGCTGATTGTCATTCATAATTTATTTCTTCGTTGGGAGGCTTGCGAAACCCCTCGTTTATTCGTTTGGCAAGTGCCCACGTCATCGAGATTGTTAACAACAATCTCCTTCCTGTTGTCAGGCACCACTGTCAGGCAGCCGGGGGAGCACAACCAGGCGCTATTGAAAGCCTCCCAAACGCCCGTTGACGCACCAGTCGGAGAGTTCGGACAGCAACTTGAAGAGGTGAGCAAGTCGGAGCCCATGTTGATTGGTAGTCTTCCTTGGTTTTACACTTTATGGTCCTCTTTAACGTTCTTTCTTCAAAACCACTGTTATAGCAATGCGTTTAGCAGCCCTTTGTGGTTATTCGTTTATTTATGAACTTGGAAAAGCTGGGGGACGGTACTTGCAGAAGGTGAGGGCCGCCTCAGCTTGTCAGTCAGAGGCTGTAGGGCCCGTATGAAAGGCTGCAAGTCTTGAAGACTGCAGGGTCCGTGTAAGGGCCTGCAAGTTAACAAGGAGAAAAGCTCGGAGAAGGCGTCTTATGCATAGCAGGGTTGGGTAACGAGCGTTGTGCTGAAGAACTACAGACTGAGCACCGTACTTGGGGATTACCAAGAGGCGGTCCCTGAAAAAGCAGGCCCTGTCGATCCGCCCTCACATGGCGAGAGCGCAGCTTCGAACGCCACATTCCATCGTGCAGTCGTTCAAAAGTGCATTGGAGAGTTTGCTCTAGCCTCCAAAGTCAGAAACTCATTGATTTGCTGTTATGAGGGGGATGCTTCTCTATCTGATTCATTTTCTGTTTGTTGCTTCTCGTTTGCCTGTCTGTCTCAGCCAGATTTGAGTAAGAACTGTGCTTGAGGCCACAACTTCTTCTTTCAGGATTTTCACGGGGTGGTTCGGAAATGGGGGACGGAGCGGCACGAAAAGAAGCTGTACAACCACGTAGGTCTTGTCGAACTGCTCGGCATTGCGGACGTCAGAAAAGGTCAGTTTTCTGCAGAGAATCGATGTTGTGTAGGTTTTTAGCTTCGTGCAGGTTTTGACCTTTAAATCGGATAATCTCGTTGTCCCGTCCATCTCAAAGACGCAGAACCCGTTGGACTGTAGTCCTGCTTTCACAGCAGCTTCACAATGCTTTTCATTCAGTAGTTGTAAAAGCTTTGCAATCAGGACAGAAATGCTGATCGTAGGCATCCCGCGCAAGAACGAAGCCTGCCAAAATGTGCAGTGACTTCGTGGTGAGGTAAATGTTGCAGAAACTTATTCGATCGAAACGCTTGCAATGTTTTTGTTTATATCGTCAATATTTAAGGAATTGGGGTTGCTAGACTACTTTCCCGCAGCAAGAGGTGCTCCGGCAATGAAGGATCGTGCATCCTCCGATTATCGAATCTTTTGCCTTCTCAGACAGTGTCAAATTGAACCGGGGGTATAACTTGTTTCTTCCGAAGCGCTCGAGAATCTTCGGGCAATGGTTTTTAACGCTCCAAGAAGGATGAGCCGCTTTCTCTTTTGCAGGTACGGGTGTTGCTGGCAACCGGGGGTACTACTTGAATAGCGCGGGCGTGCTGCTGAACCAGGCGCTGATTAACTCGGGGCTGGCGTTCCTGGTCAAGCGTGGCTTTACACCGCTGCACACACCCTTCTTCATGAAGCAGGACGTCATGGCGGAATGCGCGCAGCTTGCGCAGTTCGATGAGGATCTCTACAAGGTGAGGCTGCGCTTCATCTTTGCTAGTCTTTCTTCCGATGGAGCATAGGCATTCGGTCATTGCTTGCAGCAACATATCTCGACTTCTCTTCCTTCACTTACATCTCATCGAGACGAGATGAGAAGGTGGCGCCTCGATGTCATCGTTTGCAAAGGAAAAAGGAATGGTGACGATCCTCTTAAACAGAGTTTGGGGTTCGGTCGTTTGATGAAGTTTCTGCAGCCTGCCCTTGCAGCTCCCAAGTTCGAAAGTACTTCACCAATGCGTCTGCAGATTGCCCCGTTCCCGTCGTGTTGAGCAGTCGTAGCATCGGCGCATTGGTGTGTGCCTGTTTCTCTTGCTTATCCATCGCAAAATGCGCTCTTAGACTTAGATTTGTATCGTGGTCCTGCTAGAAGCCCTATCTCATCTGATGAATGCCACACCCGATAGTATCCTTGCTTTTTGCATGCCAGGTGTCAGGCGAGGGGGACGACAAGTACCTGATTGCCACGTCAGAGCAACCGTTGTGTGCATACCATCGGGGGGACTGGATGGACGCGAAAAGCCTGCCCATCAAGTGAGTGACGAAGGACGGTTATTGGTTTCTCGGCGTAGTCCTTGACAGGATTTGAGGTCGTTAAAGTGTAGTCAGAAAGGATGCTCTTCCGTTCACTGCTGGCGAGTCGGCGGATTGCATCATCTTACAGAGCAGAGGGTCAACAAGGTGGTTCGTAAAGTCCACGATCTCAGGATCTCAGGATCCCTTGATGTGAGCGCCGCGTCACAGGGCCAATTCGAGCGCCTCGGGCAATCTGAGTGGCCAGTCTGTTTGACGGCGTTCAGCTCAACGATTGCCGGAAAGGACAATGGAAAGACATTATCCCGAGCTACTTGGCCCCAAATGATTGTTCCAGACTTGTCCGTGACCATTTTGTGGAGCATGGCTGGCTCTCTCACCTATGATAGTTTGTACTTGTGGGGGGAAATTCAGTACGTCAAAAGAAAGACTCGAAAGGTTTTCCAATTTTCGTCCTTGCTAGTGCCTCACATAGCTTATGCTCCCGCCCAGGTACGCCGGGCACTCGACGTGCTTCCGCAAGGCAGCCACGGGTGTTTCGTTGTCTCGCATACCCTATGCTCTCTAAGGTCGCGACACATAGCTTATGCTTCCGGCCAGGTACGCTGAGTACTCCACGTGCTTTCGCAAGGAGGCCGGCAGCCGCGGGCGTTTGTTGCCTCACATACCTTATACTCTCGAATGTCGCGTCACATAGCTTATGCTCCTGGCCAGGTGCGCCAAGTACTCGACATTCTTTCGCAAGGAGGCCGGGAGCCACGGGCGTATCTGTTGCCTCACATACCCTATGCTTTCAACCGTCGCGTCACATGACTTATGCTGTTCGCCAGGTACGCGGGGGACTCCACGTTCTTCCGCACGAAGGCCGGGAGCCACGGGCGTTTCTGTTGCCTCACATACCTTATGCTGTCAAATGTTGCGTCTCATAGCTTATGCTCTCCGGCAGGTACGGGGGGTACTCCACGTGCTTCCGCAAGGAGGCCGGCAGCCACAGGCGGGACACGCTGGGTATCTTCCGCGTGCACGAGTTCGAGAAGGTGGAGCAGTTCGTGCTGACCAGCCCGCTGGAGAACGCGTTGTGGGAGATGCACGTGGAGATGCTCAAGAACTCAATGGACTTCGACCAGGTGAGAGTTCGTTCCTTAATGCTAAAGCGCTGTTTCAGTTGCCTAGCCCATCCGTTTCTCGTCGATCGGAATCCCTGGAGCTTTGCAATGTGGACTGTTCCCAGCATGTCGTGCTTTTCAGGAGGAATGATGACGCTGTTTTTGAGATGGATCGTGCTGGGCCGTCTAGTGTCTGGTGAAGCCTCTTGTGATACTCTTATCAGCTGAAATTTCAGTGTTAGGCAATCACGTCAAACCTCCGACGTTCGTCGTTCGACCACTTATCCGTGCTTACACGGCATGTACTGGACCTTATTTCAGAGGTTTTTCCCCCTACGGTTGCTCGCCTGAATTTGTCCTTCTGTCTTGCATCTGAAAAGGATTGCCTATCAAGTTTGGTGCACTTTTGTGAGCTTTGTTCCTGCTCGAGTTAGTGACTCGTCAAGTCTGCTTCCCTCCGCTTCTCAGAATTGCGTGTTAGTGTTCCCTGTGATTTCCTGGCTTGCCTCCGAAATGGACACGTCAACAGATACTGCTCCCAAAGCGTGCCAAGGTCAAGAGCATCTAGTTCTGACTGACTTAATCACGAGAACGATCATCACCACTCAGTGCCCTCCATTAGCCGTCTGACGGAAAAATCTCCCCCTCAGGCGCTGGAGCTGCCGTACCGGGTCGTTTCTATCGTGTCAGGCGCGCTGAACGACGCTGCGGCCAAGAAGTACGACCTCGAGGCGTGGTTCCCGGCGTCTAAAGCGTACCGAGAAATCGTGTCATGCTCAAACTGCACGGACTACCAGTCATGGAGGCTTGAAACACGTTATGGGATCAAGAAGGTGAGAGAATCCTAGATCTTTCATTTAGACGTGGAATTTTTGAGTTGCTCCGTTGCATTTATAGGATCAGTGCTTCTTGCCCAGTGAATGGCTTCAGGTCGCTACTATTAAGGAAGAGGGAGAGTTTGAAAGGCTGAAAACCATTGGTCGGCACTCTCTTTGATTTACACCGTATGACAGAAGAAGCCTGGGCCGTGTTCTCTCTCATTACTAACATCAAGTAACATCGCGACACTGAAACTTTGGGAATGCCATCAAGACAACCTCAATCGAGACTTTGGGTACCATTATTGCGTGTCTGGTCCTCTAGCCGGAAAAGCGCCCCAGCAAGTGCGCGAAAAGTGAGGGCGAGGTTTCGCTTGACCAGAATGAAGGAAAATTGAGCAACTTGGAGCAGTGCGGTGTAGAAGAACCTGCTCTGGAAGGTAAAATGGAAGTTGACGAGTCCGAAGAAAAAAAGGTGACTGGCTAAAGGCGCATGCTGCCCTTCATGCAATTGCTTGCTGTGCTGGTACAAGTCAGAAACATTGATTACGTGTTCTGTCTACATGACTTCGAGTCTGCTTGCCGGGCATCTTATGTATACAAGACCGTATAGTCACGTTGTAATTACCCGAACTTGAGACTCCTGCCGTCGCAAACCCCCCAAAAACAGATGGCTTCTCAACGCGCGCTCCCAAAGACGGAGTATGCGCCTACTCGATCACAACACGGCACTCCGCTGTGCTTGTTGCCGACCTTTAAGGTCTTCATTCTCCATACATTTGTCATGTTTACTTCTCGAATTCTTGATGAAAGCCCTCCCAGAAGCAGTACGCGCATCTGCTGAACTTGACGCTAACGGCAACGGACCGCACGCTGTCTGTCGGAATTTCGGGAGCTTGACATCGGGGATGATTCTGAAGCTATTGCGTTCAAGATTTCCCAGATGAACGACCCTTAGAAGCAGTACACGCACCTGCTCAACTCGACGCTGACCGCAACAGAGCGCACCCTGTGCTGTTTGCTGGAACTCATAGAAACTAATCTTCTCAGGGAACCGGTTTTTTGAATCTCTGGAACTCTATCTCCACAGGTGAACGACCCCCAGAAGCACTACACGCACGTGCTCAACTCGACGCTGACAGCAACGCAGCGCACGCTGTGCTGTTTGCTGGAGACGCACCAGACTCCAGACGGCGTCAAGGTCCCCGCGTGTCTGCAACCGCTGGTGGTGCTGGACCTTCATCCCGTTCGGCAAGAAGAAGGAGCTGGAGATGAAGGGCAAGCAGAAGGTGAGGCTGGAGCGAGTGCTCTAAAAGTTTTTTCTGCGTGAGTTTGCGTTTTGTGGGGACGTTTAAGATCAAAATCTCAAATTTAGTGGGGGCTCGATCTCATCCCGTTCGTCAAGAAGGAGCCGGAGAAGGAGAAGGGCAAGCAGAAGGCAGAAGCTGTGCCTCACTCTCTGGTTTCGGTGCTTTGTCATGCCTTATTGTCCATTTGAGGCTCCTAAACTTCGTTCCGATCTACAAGGGAAAGGAGGCCGAGAAGGAGAAGCGCAAGCAGAAGGTGACGCTGGAGCGATATTTTGAATAAGTTTTTTTGTCTTATTTTGCGGTTTGTAGGACGTATAATTCGAAGTTTCGTCTCGCTGGTGGGGTTCAATTCAATCCGGTTTGTTCAAAAGTAGGTGCCGGAGAAGGAGAAGGGGCAAGCAGAAGGTATCACCTGTGCCTCGCTTTCGACTTTCGTGCTTTGTCATGCCTTACTTTCCATCCGAGACCTCATGATTTCATCCCGTTCGTCAAGACCAAGGAGCCAGAAAAGGAGGGCGAGCAGAAGGCAAGGCTGAAGCAATGTGCTCTTTCGGTACAAGTTCTTTGCAGTTTGTTTGGATGGTTTTTCTCAATCTTCCGAAATTGGGTGGGGCTGAACTTTATCCCGTTCGTCAACGCAAAGGAGCCGGAGAAGGAGAAGGGCAAGCAGAAGATGAGGCTGGAGTGATGTGCTCTAATGTGTTTTGCCTAATTTTGTGGTTTGTAAGAAATGTAATTCGAACTTTCTTTTTCCCGTTTGTAAAGACGAAGGAGCCCGAGAAGAAGAAGGGCAAGCAGAAGGTGAAACCTCAGCGTTATGCTCGAACACGGAGGAGGATGGGTGCATAAATTCTTGAACTTTCAGATGTGGGGTTGTAAATAGAAGGTCGGGCTTTTGCACCGATCCGGGTGGTTTTTAGGGGGTTGGAATCAGTTTCTCCCCTGCTTTGCACTCGTATTTTGCCCAATACGTGACTCGCTGCCCAAATTGGAGTCAAAAGCTGCAAGCACGTCGGACAGCGTTGGCGGAAACCTTGCTCTGCAAGGCAATCTTGGTGCTCTGAAGATCCAAACGCATCCTTTTCCGACGTCACTACATCAGATAAGCTCCTTGTTGCCCTTGAAATCTGAGAGGGGATGTTCCACACCAACTACACTCTATTTCGCAGGCTCTGTCCGACTCGGAGCTGCGCCGCTGGCTAAGGACACGTGGCCTCTGCTGCCATGTGGTCTGGTGCCGGGACAACCTGACGCTGCACCCAGGCGAGCAGGAGCCAAGCGCTGCGCAGCTTAACGGGAGACAATACGAGAGTAGAGAGATCGTACGCGGGAAGGTATGAGACGATCGAGAGCTTCTTGAGCAGAATGGACAGCAATTCGACTTTGCTGCGGAAGTTTCAAGCTCTTTGGTTACTCATGAGAGTCACAAATTAGAGAGTCAAATTTGCGATGAAAGGCCCGCAAACATTAGAGAGGTGCTCGGATGCAGGGACCACCGAGAATTGATGTTTGTGCATGCAGTTCTGACGCTCAGTCACAGGTGAATACAATGCTTGCTCGGCCAGGTGTCAAAACACAGAAGGTTGTTCAAATAGATGCGCGGTCACTGCCGTTACTCGTAAGTAGTCGTACATCAGAGTACCGCCCAAAATGGGGCAGGCTCCACAGGGGATCAAGTTATGGAAAATTGGAAACCAGAGCTGTGTAGTCCGGCTTCATTTAATGCATCCGATGAATGCGAAGCCTTAACGCCTTCTCTATACTTATCTATCATGCCATTGTTTGGTGAAGAGCTGCAAAATTTTATAGTGCAAGCTAGCGGTTATGCAATGCACATGATAGGCCTGCCCATGCATTAGAAGAGCAATCTAAGTTGACGGTACGTACGTTGAGCATGACAATGATGCTGTATATAAGTCCCATTAGACATTGATGTGCCATGCTTAATACGACTGCCAGAGTCCTGGCACTGTACCCGGTCCATGCAGTGGCACATCCAGAATAGAGCGGTCTTGATATATGTACGACATGCTTATACCGGTAGATGCACACATGGTGGGTTGCCAGATCGTCGACGAGGACGCTTCAAATAATTGGACATCTTTCAAGTCCACTCGAAATCTCTGCTTCTCTATCTTAGAGATATGCGCACAGTGACATCGGCCCTCAACAAACTTAAAATTACGATCATATTTCACAGAAGCACCTCTTCATGAGGCACTCTGAAAAAGTGAAATCGAGCAGGCGTTGCCCTAGAAAATGAGGAAGAACAAGCTCGAACTGTTCCTGTCACGCAACGAAAGAAGAATCTAGATCGACCAGAGTGTCAATCACGATACTTCATTGTTTCAGACGGATTGAAGTCGGCTGAGTGAGGGACTAGCTTCAGATGGCGCAAAGCGCAGAGTCGCCTGCACAGCTCGCACAGCTCGCAAGCTCAGCAGAAACCTCTTAGCCTCCGCTGTCTAATCTCTGCCTATGCAGCTTCTTTCGCATTCTGCTCATCTCGACAGCGGGGTCGATCCACTCTGGCCGTGAGCCGGTCCTGTCAAAGGTGCTAATCCGTCTCACAAGAGGCTCAAGCGCTTTTGTAAGCGTCTCAGCATCGTCCTGAGAAAAGAAAATTGCTCAATGTGAGCATGTTTTGGTCGTGCCTTGATGAGCAGGAGCATGCAACAAGCGACTGAAGCAGGCTGCAAAACAAGCCAGACTAGGGTTGTCCCTGCCCAGTTCGGTTCGAAGCTACGTACCTTCTCTTCCACAATAACATCCACTTTGGCAAGCGGGTGCTTCGAGAGAGCCTTGGCAAAAACAGGCCATGGCTCATTGAAGCTCTCACCGCTCCCCTCTGCCATCTGCAGGTAGACAGAGTGGTCAGAACATACGTACTCGTGCCACAGTAGGACAGTTGGAGACACAACAAGCAGAGAAAGCCTTCATCTCGACAGACCCCCTACTACAGGATCTGAAAAGCGCCGCTTGTATATAACACCAAAAAGACAACTACCTGCAGAGCCAATTCTGCTTGCAAATAGGTTCTGCCTATACATCAATGAGCCTGAAAAGCCGTCTAGGCACTCACGAGGCGGACGTCGGGGTAGAAGATGTACCCCTTCAGCCTGTAGCCCTGGAACTGGTTGAAGCCCTGCAAAGCAGCGTCCAGGCACACCAACTTTGCAAACGGCACCTCGGGCTTCAACCAGAAGGTGACCTAAGAGACTCCGGTGGGATAATTGCATCGCTCCTGCAAGAGAAACATGCTTTTTGCCGACGGCAGTGGGTGTCTTTAGAGGCAGGATAGTCAACGTCAATAAAAAAGACACAGCAACCATAGCAACCTGTCAACTGGTGTGGTCTAAAGAGCACTGACATGGCTACCGCCTGAGCCAGTAGCAAATACAAAAGCCTTTCCCTTAACTTCGTACCTCGGCCGAATACCCACGAAATTCGCCCCTGATTGATTCGGACTCTTGACGCGCCATGTCTGCCTCCCCCAAAGACCTGCAAACAATGCAGCAATAAGGCAAAGCATGACAACAGCGAATCGTAGCCACCAGTCGAAACCACACAAGGCATGCTCATGCTCATGCTGTTTTTCAGGATTCAGTACTCAAGGCTCTGCAAATATGCTGTCGCCACATGCTTGTCACATGAAATTTAGGAGTGACCCAGGTTGCAACAGCTGCTTCCACAACAGCTGCCTTCAGTCTGCATGAATAACAGCATACCTGTCAGATGGGGTTGGCCCAGCTCTCCCTGGCCAGCGGAATGCTGGCTCAATGATCCCGCTGCAATCCGGCACCACGAGCCCTGCACTGCTTCGGCTGCTCCCCAGCTGGGAACCGACGAGCACGCTGCTCAAGGGGTGGCAGGTCACACCCCTCTTCGCTGCTCGGAGGCGGGGCACGAGCCCCGACAAGCGGCTGCCCAAAAGCATACTGGTCGTTTCGTCTAACACACCCACTGCTCTGGAGGACTGCTCCTGAATGGGAAACAGGAGGCTGTGAAGCAGCACCGTGTAGGAAACTTGAAGGTTGCGGCGATGGAAAGGGAAGCCCTTCGCCGCTTCAAGTTCGGGCCAAAGCTTGCAAACGCAAGGTACGTCGCGCCAACTGGAACGTCACGGTGTGACGCCAAAATGGCGGGCGCGGCCAGTCTCGCCAATATTGTAAAAGAAACCGCATATTACCATTTGTGCAAGTACTATTAGCAGTCACATGGTATGGCCGTTCTATCATATCACTCCGATCAGAAATCTTTCGTCTCGGTATTATCGATTTTCCATATTACTATGTGAGTAGCTTCATAGCGCGACAAAGCCGGCGAGGCCGCTAGCTCGGAAGTCACGGTCGGAAGGGGCTCGGGAGGGCGGGTGTGGAGAATAGCGTACAGAACTTGATCTCAGGTTCCGGATCTCAGGACATTCCGGATCTGAGGAAACAACCGCCGGGGGTTGAGTTCTCACCTATTCTGTAACCCCTCTTACAATATCTGCGAATTTCACGCGGCCGCCCGGTGAAAGTTGTACGATCAGCGCCGTTCGATGCAACTTTTATGCAAATCGAAGGGCCTAGATTCTTTGTCCGCGACAGGGGGACTCCGGAATCATACTACAGGTGTCGTCGGTCCCGAGATCGGGAAAGGTTCCTGGCGAAGG